CCCAAGCGAGAATTCACCACAGAGGTGCAGAGTGTTGGAAGATGTCCCTTGGAAGGGAGGGATGTGCATCCTCCACTTCTTGTGGAGCTCTTTGTGATCATTCCATACCACGTCCCTCTGGGGAACATCCAGTCTGGCCTTCCTCCCCCCTGGGGCAGCTCTCCTGAACCACCATCCAGACTTCCTCCTTTGTTCTTTGCCTCCCTCCACTCAAACTCTCCTGTATCCCCTTGACTACCCCTCAAACTACTTTCATCTCTCTGTCTTCTTTTGCTCCTCCTAAAATAGCCCCCAGCCATCTCCTGTGTCCCCTGCCTCCTCCAGACAACATCTGACCACCCTGTTTCCCTCTAACCTCTGGTGTCTCCCACCCTGTCCATTTCTCCCATGATACTCTCTTAAGAACACCTGAACCTCCCTGACCCTTGGTGCCTTCCCCGGTGCCACCAGTGATGCCCCTCTCTCCTCAGCACATCAACAATGAGCATATCCACGGGGAGAAGAAGGAGTTTGTGTGCCACTGGGCAGCGTGTTCCCGGGAGCAGAGGCCCTTCAAGGCTCAGTACATGTTGGTGGTGCACATGCGACGTCACACGGGCGAGAAACCTCACAAATGCACGGTGAGCTGGTGGGGACCCTTGGCAAAAGCCTTTGCAATCGTCCGGGTTGGAAGAGACTCTTGGGATCATCGAGTCCAACCATCTACCCTCAAGGGGCTCCAGGAGAGATGGGGGGGGACTCTTATCATAGAATCACAGAATCATAGAGTTGTCCAGGCTGGAAGGGACCTCCAAAGGTCATCTAGTCCGACCTCCCCGCAGTCAGCAGGGACACCCCCAACTAGACCAGGTTGCCCAGGGCCTCATCGAGCCTCACCTTGAATATCTCCAGGGAAGGGGCCTCAACCACCTCCCTGGGCAACCTGTTCCAGTGCTCCACCACCCTCACAGTAAAGAACCCTCTCCTCATCTCCAGTCTAAATCTGTTCCCCTCCAGCTTGAAGCCATTGAATCATCTAGGTTGGAAGAGACGCTTGGGATCATCGAGTCCAACCATCTCCCCTATGTGCCTAGGGAGGTGGTGTGACGTAGGGCAGAAGGATGCTGGGAGGGCTGGAGCCCCTCTGCTGGGAGGACGGGGCTGAGAGAGTTGGGGGGGTTCAGCCTGGAGATGAGAAGGCTCCAGGGAGACCTTGGAGTCCCTTCCAGTCCCTCAAGGGGCTCCAGGAGAGATGGGGGTGACTCTTATCATAGAATCATAGAATCATGGAATTGCCCAGGCCAGAAGGGACCTCCAAAGGTCATCTAGTCCGACCCCCCCGCAGTCAGCAGGGACACCCCCAACTAGACCAGGTTGCCCCATCGAGCCTCCCCTTGAATATCTCCAGGGAAGGGGCCTCAACCACCTCCCTGGGCAACCTGTTCCAGTGCTCCACCACCCTCCCAGTAAAGAACCCTCTCCTCATCTCCAGTCTAAATCTGTTCCCCTCCAGCTTGAAGCCATTGAATCATCTAGGTTGGAAGAGACGCTTGGGATCATCGAGTCCAACCATCTCCCCTATGTGCCTAGGGAGGTGGTGTGACGTAGGGCAGAAGGATGCTGGGAGGGCTGGAGCCCCTCTGCTGGGAGGACGGGGCTGAGAGAGTTGGGGGGGTTCAGCCTGGAGATGAGAAGGCTCCAGGGAGACCTTGGAGTCCCTTCCAGTCCCTCAAGGGGCTCCAGGAGAGATGGGGGTGACTCTTATCATAGAATCATAGAATCATGGAATTGCCCAGGCCAGAAGGGACCTCCAAAGGTCATCTAGTCCGACCCCCCCGCAGTCAGCAGGGACACCCCCAACTAGACCAGGTTGCCCCATCGAGCTCCAAGCTCTGGGGCAGCACAGACCCACACGAGGCACAGGATGAGCTGGGACCTTCACCTTCCAGTCCCTAAGGGGGGGCTACAGGAGAGATGGGGAGGGATGATCAGGGAGCAGAGCCATAGGATGAGACAGGACAATTTTAAACTGAAAGACGGGAGATTTAGGTGAGATGTGGGGAAGAACTTGTTTGGTGTGAGGGTGGTGAGAGCCTGGCCCAGGTTGGCCAGAGAAGCTGTGGCTGCCCCATCCCTGGAGGGGTTCAAGGCCAAGGTTGGAGGGGGCTTGGAGCAACCTGGTCTCCTTGAAGATGTCCCAGCCACCAGAAGGGATGGAACTGGATGAACTTTAAGGTCCCTTCCAACCCAAAACGTTCTGTGATTCTCTGGCGATTCCACCACTTCCCTGGGTTGGAGGGGACCTTGAAGTTCATCAAGCCCAACCATCAACCCACCACTGCCCAACCCACCACTGCCCCATGGCCCTCAGCACCGGCTTTTAGATCCCTCCAGGGATGGTGTTTGGGGAGTGGAGCCACAGGACGAGGGGGAAGGGTTTTCAACCAAAAACTGGGAGATTGAGGTGGGATCTGGGGAAGAAGTTCTTTGGTGTGAGGGTGGTGAGAGCCTGGCCCAGGTTGGCCAGAGAAGCTGTGGCTGCCCCATCCCTGGAGGGGTTCAAGGCCAAGGTTGGAGGAGGCTTGGAGCAACCTGGTCTGGTGGGAGGTGTCCCTGCCCAGGGCAGGGGGGTTGGAACTAGATGATCTTTATGGTCCCTCCCAACCCAAACCATTCTGTGATTCTGTGAAGGAGAAAGGGCTGTGTAGTGGTGTGAGGACACGTACCTGAAGCGGGGCGGGTGTGTTGTGCGTTGGCTGGGAGGTGCGATACGTGTCAACGGCAGATGTGCCGTGGGGGTGACGTGGTACAGGGTCTGTTGAAGGTGTGTGGCATGTTTCACCCTGCTTGCCTGCGCAGTTTGAGGGCTGTAACAAAGCCTACTCACGCCTGGAGAACCTCAAGACGCATCTACGCTCGCACACGGGTGAAAAACCCTACGTATGTGAACACGAGGGTTGCAACAAGGCCTTCTCCAATGCTTCTGACCGGGCCAAGCATCAAAACCGTACTCACTCCAATGAGGTACTGACCCCTCTGGGGCTCCTTGCACCCCTTTGGGCTCCCCTTATGCTTCCTCATCCATCCTCTACTCCATAAACTCCCTCCATCCCTGGTTTGTTCGTTGGTTTGTTTGGTTTTAGCCCTGTGTGTCCCAATTCCCTCCTTGCCCGCTCTAATAAAGTATGGCCTCCTGCTCCCTGTTCCCACCAGGGTCCCTTGACCTCCTGTCCTGCTCCTGTGAGGCACCATCCTTGCATTCTTCCTCTTCCAAGGTCCTGCTGTAGCACCTAAGCTGCCCCCTCCAAGGGGACTCAGCTTCTTCGATCCTTTCCCACCTTCAGTTCCTGGGTGGACTCTAGAGGGAAGGGAGGGGGATTTATGTCATGCCCAGCTGGTCCTTGGTTGGGAGGAGTCTCCAGTTGGAGCTGACACCTTCCATCCACTCTTCCTACCTTTTTTTTCCCCGACAGAAACCCTACGTGTGCAAGATTCCAGGCTGCACCAAACGCTACACGGACCCCAGTTCCCTGCGCAAACACGTCAAGACGGTGCACGGTCCCGATGCCCACGTCACCAAGAAGCACCGAGGGGATGTCGTGCCAGGCCGGGCCCTTCCCACCCCCAGTGGCCCCCCTGACATGAAGCAGGAGAAAGACACGAATGGCCCTGCTGAGGCCAGGAAGGAGGACAGCAAACTCTTGGTGCCTGACTTGGCCTTGGTAAGGAGCTGGGGGGGGTGCAATGGCAGAGGGAGTCCAGGCCAGACCTGTTGGAGGAGCCACTTTCCATGGTTGGGGAGTCACCTCCACCTCTGGCTGGCTCACAGGTTGTACGAGGTGGATATCTGACCCCCTTTTTTTCTTGGTTGATGTTTTGGGTGCCACCTAGAAGCCGCAGCCCAGCCCGGGTGGGCAATCGTCGTGCAGCAGTGACCATTCCCCGCTCGGCAGCACCACCAACAACGACAGCGGGGTGGAGATGGCGGGCAACGCCGGTGGGAGCTACGAGGATCTGTCCACGCTGGAGGATGTGGTGCCTGGTGAGCCCATGGGCACCTCGGGGCTCATGGCCCTCCACAAGCTAGAAAATCTTCGCATTGACAAACTGAAGCAGATGAGGAAGCCGTCAGCTACGAAGGGCCTGAATTTGCCAGCCATCCCTGGAGCCGGTGAGACTGTGGTTCCCTCTCACCCCAACCCAGGGCCAGTCCCATGGGTCCCATGGGTCAAGAGAGGTCTGGTTTGCAGCCAGAGAAGTTTCCACATCTTCCTTTCACTAGTGGTGGACCCCCATCTCTGGGCTGTACCCCATCTTTGGACTCAATGATCTTAAAGGTCTTTCCAATCTAAATTTTCTGTCCCCCTCTTTGTTGCCACCAGTTGAACCTCCTTCCCGTCCTACCAGGCACTAACCGTGGAGGAGGCCGCATCCTGGTACTGGGTGCTTTGACCACTGGTGTCATGCTGTTGTGTCCTAAGTGCCCTGGTGTAAACTTCTGAATTTCACTGAATTTCACTGAATTTTTAGAGTTGGGAGGGACCACAGAGATCATCTAGCCCAACCCCCCTGCTGAAGCAGGATTGCCCAGAGTGTGTTAGAGCACGTTACTCAGGAGCATCCAGGCAGGTCTTGAAAATCTCCAAGGAAGGGGACTCCACACCCTCCCTGGGCAGCCTCTTCCAGGGCTCTGCCACCCTCACCATGAAGAAGTTTTCAGCCCGGAGAAGAGGAGGCTGAGGGGAGACCTTATTGCTCTCTCCAACTCCCTGAAAGGAGGGTGTAGAGAGATGGGGGTCGGTCTCTTCTCCCAAGGAACAGGCAACAGGACGAGAGGAAATGGCCTCAAGTTACACCAGGGGAGGTTCAGGCTGGATATTAGGAAAATTTTTTTCACGGAAAGGGTTCTCAGCCCTTGGAATGGGCTGCCCAGGGAGGTGGTGGAGGCCCCATCCCTGGAGGTGTTGAGAAGCCGGGTTGATGTGGTGCTGGGAGGTCTGGTTTAGTGATGGTGTTGCTTTTTGTTTGTTGTGTGGGTGTCTATTTTTGTCAAAATGAGGTTGATGGTTGGACAAGATGATCTTTAAAGTCCCTTCCAACCTAGAATCATAGAATCATAGAATCATAGAATTGCCCAGGCCGGAAGGGACCTCCAAAGGCCATCTAGTCCGACCTCCCTGCAGTCAGCAGGGACACCCCCAACTAGACCAGGTTGCCCAGGGCCTCATCGAGCCTCCCCTTGAATATCTCCAGGGAAGGGGCCTCAACCACCTCCCTGGGCAACCTGTTCCAGTGCTCCACCACCCTCCCAGTGAAGAACCCTCTCCTATATCTTCACAATCTCCACAGAAGAGTCTGTGATTCTGTGAAGTTTTTTCTCGTATTTGAGTGGAACCTTTTATGTTCCAACTTGTGCCCGTTGCCCCTCGTCCTCTCACTGGGGACCACTGAAAAGAGTCCGGCTCCCTCCTCCTTCAACCCTCCCTTGAGATACTTGTCAGCATTGAGAAGGTCTCCTTTTCTTCCCTCAGGCCTGCCCGCAGAGCTGCCCGGGGTCTCCGTGCCACCGCCAGCTGCCTCGCACCGGCGCGTGGCAGAGCTGTCGGTGGCAGAGATGGCCGTGCCACCCAGCGAGCGCCGGAGCAGCGCCACCAGCACCGTCAGCTCGGCCTACACCGTGAGCCGCCGCTCGTCCCTGGTGTCCCCGTACCTGGCCGGGCCCTGCCTGGGTGGCAGCGAGGCGGGGGCCATGCCCGGCCTGGCAGACGGTTATGACCCCATCTCCCCGGACACCTCGCGACGTTCCAGTGATGGCAGCCACTCTGGAGGCCTACCAGGCGTGGGCAACCTCACCCCGGCCCAGCGCTACCGGCTCAAGGCCAAATACGCCGCAGCCACGGGTGGCCCACCTCCAACCCCGCTGCCCAGCAGGGAACGGGTGGCCATGGGTGGCCACAACATCTTGCCCGGGGACTACCTTGGGCCAGGAGAACCCTGCTACCTCGCGAACGGTTTGCTGCGAAGGCCCAGCTCCAATGACCACCCCGGCTACGCCGGCGGCGTTCCCCCTCACCTGGTGCCTCGGAACGGTGTGCGACGGGCCAGCGACCCTGCCCGGACCACGGCCAACCCTCACGCCGTGCCCAAAGTGCATCGTTTTAAGAGCATGGGTAACGTCAACGTGCCAGGAGCTGGCAGAACTGCTCTGCAGCCCTTAAGTGGTTCTGATGCCAACCTCCAGCGCCACGTCTTCTCCCCGCGCCCGCCCAGCATCAGTGAAAATGTCTTGGAGAACGTGAGCATGGAGGGTCCAGGCCCAGAGTCTGGTTTGCTGGAGATGGAGCAGTTCTTGAACTACCCCGAGGAAAGCTTCCCGTGCCAGGGGACGGGTGTGGAGCTCCAGGCTGAAGGCCTCTATGGGAGCGCCCATCGGACCCTGGGGGGGATGCAGCTGAACCCTGGAGGGCACGGGGACACGGAGAAGGGGTTTCTTCAGTCCGAGTTCTCCCTCCCTCCGTGCCAGATGAACCAGCACTTCGCAAGTATGAACGCTGGCAGCAGGACCGTACCGCCTACTTGGGATGAACCTCCCCAAGGCGGTCTGGAAATGAGTTCTGGGCAGTTCATGTCCGGGCCCCATTGTCACCATCAAAGCACTGAGTACCCACTACCCAGTTTTTGTGGGCAGCAACCCAAACTTGCGAGCTCGTGCCAGGACAGTGGATTTTCTGCAGGGCACCAGCTTAACCGACTACAGATCAAATCTGAGCAGCGTTACCCAGCACCCGCCCCAGCACTTGCCTCCTGCCAAAATGCCAAGCTTGCTGGGTCCATGCCACCTCCTGCGTCGTTTGGCCAAGCCATGAATGTAGGGCCTGGAGGGTACCAAGCTGAGGGACAGGCTCCTGTCCCTTCCATGGGCATGTTGAGCCCGGGTGGTAGAAGAGCCCAAAACCCCGCCGTGCAGACCAAAGAACTGATGGTCCGTAACTACGTGCAGGCCCAGCAGGCTCTGATGTGGGGAGACCAACTCGCCTCCAAAGAAGGGGAGGCTGGCATGGGGATGACCAGTGAAGCTGGGCAGTGCCAAGCCATGCAAGCCCCGTCGTACTTCAGCCCCAAATACTCTGGTTACCAAGCCAAACCGGATCACCTGCAGGGTCTGGCAGAGACACACCACCTCCTAAACGCCCCGTGCTTCAACCCAGAGATGGTGCCTCACCCACCTGGTGCCCCTAAACCTTCTGGTCACCAAAACAGCCTGAACTACACGGGCAACCTGCCTCAGCCAGGTCGTTCCTATGAGGGGGTGGAAGCTGGCTCCCGGCGTGTACTTCGCTTGCCCCCTGCCCGCCCCACACCTGAGGGGCCTGGCAGTGCCCTGCCATATTACCCAGGCCAGGGCACGCATTTGCAGGTGGGCAAAGGTGGGCATAAGCTGCTGGGCCACACAGCAGCAAGCTGTGGGGGTACGGGGAGTTATGGGGGGAGCTTGGAAGGACTCAAAGGCAGCTCCTGTTACTACCCGGATTCGGGGGAGCAGGTGGCAAACAGCCTGGACTCCCTGGACCTGGAGAACACGCACCTTGACTTTGCTGCCATCGTGGAAGATCCAGAGCCACCCGTGCTACCCGGGCCCCCGAGCCCTGCTGGTGGCCTCCTGCTTCCTGCAGCTGGTGGTGCCAACATGGCTGTGGGTGACATGAGCTCCATGTTGAGTACTTTGGCAGGGGAGAGCCATTTCCTCAACTCCCTGTGCTGAGAGGTACCCAGCTCTCAGGTGGGCACGTCTGCAAACCCCCCCCCCCGAGGGGGCAGACCACATTTGGGCAGAGAAATCCTTTCTCACGTGCAGATTTATGCCTGGGGTGGGGGGGTTAAAGGAGGAGAAACACCCCTGGAGTCTCCCCTTCTCCTGCTTGTCGGCGTCAGGCTCTTTCAGGGAAGGAATGTCACAGCCACAACCCTGAGCAGGTACTTCAGGTCACCTCTTTGGGGCGGGGGGGGGGACTTTTTTTACTGAGCCCTTTCATTCCAGTGCTTGGAACCTTTCCCTGCCTCCCCCCAGCCTGATGTACACGGTGGCCCTGCCACGGTCTTAATGTTGAAACCAAAGAGTTTTACCCTCCCCAGCCCGTCCGAACGTTCCCTCTGTCATCGTGGTGTCATCATCATCCCCCCTTAAATCCCAGTCTTTGTCTCACCGCAGGGATTGGGGGTGGGGGGTGGGGGGGGAAATTGGGGTGCCTTGCACTGCCTGTGTCGCTCTGTACATAGTGTTCATATGTGGATGTCTCTCCTGTGGGTTTCAGCCTTTCTTTTCTTCGAAAGAAACAGCAGTGCCCTTCCTCCCCATTAAACCCTTTCTCAGGGGAGAGCGAGCCCTGGGCTTTTTTTAATCACTCCAGATGCCCGGGTTGGGCAGAGAGTGGCTGGAGAGCAGCCCTGAGGAGAAGGAACTTGGGGGGCCTTGGTGGATGAGAACCTCAACGTGAGCGGGCAACGTGTGCTCACAGCCCAGAAAGCCCCCCCAGAATCCAGGGCTGCATCCCCAGCCCCGTGGCCAGCAGGGAGAGGGGGGGGATTCTGCCCCTCTGCTCCCCTCTGGGGAGACACCCCCACCCCCAGATGCTGCCTCCAGCAACATCAGGAGGACATGGAGCTGTTAGAGCGGGACCAGAGGAGGCCCCGGAGATGCTGGGAGGGCTGGAGCCCCTCTGCTGGGAGGGGGGGCTGAGAGAGTTGGGGGGTTCAGCCTGGAGAAGAGAAGGCTCCGGGGAGACCTCGGAGCTCCTTCCAGTCCCTCAAGGGGCTCCAGGAGAGATGGGGGGGACTCTGGATGAGGGCATACGTGGATGTCTCTCCTGTGGGTTTCAGCCTTTATTTTCTTTGAAAGAAACAGCAGTGCTGCTGCTCCCCGTTAAACCCGTTCTCAGGGGAGAGCGAGCCCTGGGCTTTTTTTATCACTCCAGATGCCCGGGTTGGGCAGAGAGTGGCTGAGGAGCAGCCCTGAGGAGAAGGAACTTGGGGGGCCTTGGTGGAGGAGAACCTCAACGTGAGCGGGCAACGTGTGCTCACAGCCCAGAAAGCCCCCCCAGAATCCAGGGCTGCATCCCCAGCCCCGTGGCCAGCAGGGAGAGGGGGGGGATTCTGCCCCTCTGCTCCCCTCTGGGGAGACACCCCCACCCCCAGATGCTGCCTCCAGCAACATCAGGAGGACATGGAGCTGTTGGATGGGGCCAGAGGAGGCCCCCGGAGCTGCTGGGAGGGCTGGAGCCCCTCTGCTGGGAGGGGGGGGGCTGAGAGAGTTGGGGGGGTTCAGCCTGGAGAAGAGAAGGCTCCAGGGAGACCTTGGAGCCCCTTCCAGTCCCTCAAGGGGCTCCATGAAAGCTGGGGGGGACTCTGGATCAGGGAGGGGAGCGATGGGACGAGGGGGAGGAAGAGGGGAGATGGAGCTGAGATGTGGGGAAGAACTTGTTTGGTGTGAGGGTGGTGAGAGCCTGGCCCAGGTTGGCCAGAGAAGCTGTGGCTGCCCCATCCCTGGAGAAGGGGGTTCAAGGCCAGGTTGGAGGGGGCTTGGAGCAACCTGGGCTGGTGGGAGGTGTCCCTGCCCAGGGCAGGGGGTGGCACTGGGGGGGCTTTAAGGTCCCTTCCAACCCAAACCATTCTATGATTCCAT